GCCCTGGCTGCCAGGCTCTCCCAGTCGGCCGCTGCCAGGTCCTATGGGGTCTTCTGCAAGGGGCTGACCCGGACCCTGCTCATCTTCTTCGACCTGGCCTGGAAGCTCCGCATCAACTTCCCCTACCTCTACATCGTCGCCTCCATGATGCTCAACGTGCGGCTGCAGGTGGGTTGGCGGCGGGGCCTGGCCGAGCTCCCCAGGGCGGCGGCGGTAACGGCCGTGCCCGGTGGCGGCGGTAACGGCCGTGCCCGGTGGCGGCGGTAACGGCCGTGCCCGGTAACGGCGGTAACGGCCGTGCCCGGGGCGGCTCTCGCTCGGCGGCGGCGGGCGCGCCTCCCCGTGGCTTCAGTCTTGTTGCGAAGTGACGCGAAGTGTGTCCTTATCTTCAAGTTCCCTTGGTGTGTGTGGCTTGATACTGTGTTCTTCAGGCGTTCTGCTGAGCTAAAATGTCATTCCTTGCATTAATTCGTGTGTTTTTATTTATTTGTAAGTCGAGAACAATTATAGCGCTGTGAGTGTAGAGGTATTTTCAGAGGGTGATGGCACTGCATGGAAATGACAGCTCAAATTTAATTTGCATCACTTCCATCTTGAGCATATGCCCACAAACAGGGAGCTGCCCCCGAGTAGCTCAGACCAAAACACCCTGTGCCTGCCCCGTGCGGGGCTGCCCATCTGCTGGTGCTGATGAAATGAAAGCTTTGCTCTCAGCTTGCAACACAAGCAGGCTACAGGTCAGCACAACATCTGCTCTTACCAAAGAGTGCTGCTTTCCCTCGGTTGGGAACACAGCTTTAACGAAAGTTTTGGTGTCTGGGCTTGTGGCTGAGTGTCAAAGGTGAAGCCTGGTTGCAGGTTGTGACTTACGCAAGATAAGGTGACATAGGAAGCAGTTAAAATGTGGAGCATCCCTCTTATTTAAGACTCATTTATCCTACAACTCCTTAGTTTAAAACAGAGCCATGCTGCCAAGAATTATCCATGCAGCATAGTAATCTTGGTGGCTAAAAAGGCCWTCCCTTTGCTTGTTATCTGTTGGCGTGTATTAACTCTCCTGTAACAGTATTAGTTTGTTGTTAGACTGCAGTGTAAATACTAGCCCTCTGATTAGGCTGGTGCAGCCAGTCTGACGGGTTCTTTGGGAAGCTCCAGATAAAACACACTTGGCTTCTGGTGCTCTGACTGATTTCAGCATGTATTTTTGTTCACACAAAAATGACTTTAACATTTGCTTATCATTGTTAGAACTCTGTTTACTAAAAAAAACTAAAGAAAATGGTGCTGTTGTGCAGTGTAGCATTCTAACTGCTGAATTGCTGACTCACTTTGCTTCTTATCAAAACAGAGTTTGTAACAGACTAAACTGAAACTGCAGAATAAAGTTTATACTTGAGTGTGCCTCTGTTCCTTTGGATGTGCTCAGGCAGCCTGTAGGAGGATCTGTCTGTCTGTACTACTGTTGCTTTCTAGTGCTGGGTTAATCCCTTTATGTTAAATATTTTTTTTCCATGTACTGGTCACAAAAGGAATTGAAATATAGAAGACAAGCTGTTGTTGAGATGAACTTAGGGAAAAAAGGAGGGAGTGAGGGAAGGAAATTGTGTTAACTTTCTATATTCTTTCTTTTTAGGTCCATATTGAAATCCACTGACCTGTGGCTTGGTATGTTGCTTGTGATCTATGTTGGACTAGTCAATCACATTCTCAGACTTGGCCTGTCGTGAAACAACAAAGTTGTGCAGGTTTCCTGTAAGAATATGGAGAAAGAAGACCAGAAACAAGTCTATGAAAGTGGCCAAGGTCATCCCAAGGCAACAACTCACTTCACACATATACATTCATTGTTGAACAACTCTGAAAATCAAAGATGCAGTTTACAAAAAGAATTGCTTTCTCTTAATATTGGGAATTCTTCAGTTTTTAATACTATACCTCTCTGTTATATCGGCAAGGAAATGCTTCTGAGTTTGAATGAATCAGCAGGAAGAAACTCGATTACAGCTGCTGCTTCAACAGATTCATTTTGTCTGCATTTTCTCTTTGAGAAAGAGAGACCTGATAAGGTTTCTCTCTGCACTAACAGTACTTTAATAAAGGGCTGGAAGGAGGAAGCTTCTTGTTTTGCTAGGGATTTGAGTAACTGGTGCTGTCTAGGAGGCAACACTGTATGTTTTGCACGCTTCTGGCTGTCAGAGCTGCTGTTTAATCAAAACCTGCAGTTTCTGGAACTGGAAATGAATGGCAGCATACAGAATGAATTGCAGCTTTGGTTTCCTGAAGAGTTTGAATTTAGACTTTGGGATCTTTATTCTATTCCAGTTGCCTCACTGAGTGAATATACTATGGGACTCTTAAACCACCAGAAACTGTGTTTCTTTCTTTGTTACTTAAATATGGTATTTTCAGAGCAAACAGTTGGATATAAGAAAATGCTTTCAAACATAATGTATGTGACAAATAATTCTCACATCATACACCTAGCAATTTCTGTGCTAACTTTTGCACTAGCAGGTCTCTGCTATGCAGTAGCAAACATAGAAAAGACTCTAAAATTTTAATTATTATTTTTAACATTAGCAGAAATTTAACAGATTAAATCAGAGAGACAAGGTTACAGTTCAAGTTTTAAAGTAGACAGCTAGAGTGAAATTATACTTGTAATTGCTAGTAAAACTGGCTGTTGAATAACAGGGATTTCTTTTAATGTGAAATATCTGTCTCCAAGTGGAAAGAACTTAATCTTAAAAACTGTTTGGGACTTCTGCATGTCTCCTGTTAACACTAGGCTGGAACTCAATATGATTCTTCTCATGGATTCTTTGTTTCTTTTATTTGCTGAGTGCTCTGGCTACTGTTTACAATCATTTCTAACAAAACTTACTTGTAGAAATGAACTCCCTCTCTGAATCCAACAACTACTACTGTTTATTAAAACATACTCAATTGGAAAGCTATTAAAAGATTGGAGAGGGCATCTTCAACCTAGCATAGTTCTCAGTAGTGTTCATTTTCAAATATGGTACTGCTCTAATTTAAACAGTATCTCATGAACTTCATTTGTCTGTAGTTAAATGGACACACTAAAAATAATTTTCCAAGGGAACATTTCCTTTCCTTGGGAAAGAGATTGTTATCACTGAAGCATAGTAATCCTTTCTGGGTCTGTTGACTTTGGATTTGGGACAGACTTCTACAGTGTTGGGCAGAGAATGGAGCAAGCCCTTTGAAATCAATAGATTTGCTTGTGAATAAGAACTTCCAGGAATATGTTCTGTTGGGCATGTAGATGGGGAAACTTAATGTGCAGTTTGTCAAAATTGGTGTTTGAAATTCTCAACAAAGGGACTTAGTGTAGACAGGCTTAATGTGTTCTGTGGACTTGCCTGAAGAGGGAGGTATTGATTTGGTGAGTTAGGATGCATTTCAGTTCTCTTTGCTGTGAATTAAAGGTGAGGACTTRCTGCAGAGTAAACTTATGTTAGTGATTGTTAAACTAAGTATCCCTTTTGCTGTCTTGCTTCCTTCACTTTGGAAACAGACTAAGCAGTGTTGCATTTGGTCTGAATCGTGTTCACCTGGGAAGTCAGTAGAGTTTCTCATACAGTGCTTCTTTGTGTGTTAGTTCACTGCACAAAAGCCTCCTTATGTAAGAAGTCTCTCATTATGAAGATGAGATGCCAGTTATCAGTGTTATGGGGAGAAATGTTTGCATTTTTTTTAGCCTRGAGGAGTGCTGAAAGTAAGATATTTTAGTTCCTTTGTTAAATAGTATTTTTATTACCYTTTGTTGACTATTTCTTTTGGCTGTTAGAAAAGATTTTAAAAGAATGTTTTAATTTAGACAGTAACCTTTTCATAGGTATATGACTCTTAATTGTTTAACTCTTAGACTTTTGACCACATGATTACTAGTCACAAAAATACCAGAAACTTTAATGTAATAATGGCTTATATATTATAAGTAATTATTTTGACAGYAAACTTCAGTCAAGCTGTTTATACTATTTTTTCCCCTCTGCTGCTGCAGTTTCACTGCCAAGAGTGATAATACTACTGCAAGGTGGCATTAACACGAATGCTTATGGAACAAGATTGCTGAAATACATGGATTTCAAACTCTAACTGCCAGAAAAAAAATGGTTCCTCAGAAGTTTGTGGCTTATTTGACTTATGCTGTTAAATTGTCCCTGTATACCCCCTTGACTCTAAAAACATCTGGGAGAGACGATGGCTCAGGAATGAAGGTGGGGAGGAACTGAAACCTATTGAAGCGGTCTTGATTGCTAAAGAAACCATTATGCAACTGCGTTTTAATCYCTATAACTTACTATATAGGTAAAGGAAAAACTTCTGCTATATAGAGTGCTTATTTTACCTTTGTACCTAAACAGAACCCTGCCTCCATAACTGATTGCTTGATTTCCTCTATAAAGAATCTGTTGGCACACCTGTACCTGTAGTTACAGGTGAGAGCTGCTCTATTCAGCTAAACAGCTTGGCATAATGTTCTCTTCCCTGATGTACATTTGGCAAGCGTGTGCTTTGGAACCACTGTCTTACTGTTAGATCGATAAGCAAGCAGAGTAGCTGATGGCATAAATGCATTAACCCTGTCMTTACACATTTATTGGTGGTGATTTAAAAATGGGAGAGAAAAACAAGAGAACCTGTAAATTATAACTTAATGTATATGTAGTGGGGTGTCRGGAATTGTCTTTTTTTGGATAATAAGCTTATTCAGGAGGGGATCTTGAATTGATGGATTGTATTATACATCACAGTCCAGATAATATAGTCCTGTCATAAGCAAAATTTGCATTGAGTGGCCTTTAGTACTATAGGATCACCTTAAATAACAGTACAGATAAGCAACATGATGGGTATTTGTGTATTATATGTATAATTAATATAAGTTTTAAATAATGTCTCGAGTGGATTTAATCCATTTTAACATAGTTTATGTACTTTGCCTTGGATTTTATTGCTAAAAACCTGAAAGGTAACTTTCTAACTTGAACATTCCATGTAAATTGAAATAAAGGATAGTTTAGTATGCTAAAATCTCAATATGTTGCACTTTACACTTGGGAAGGTCATAGATTGAAAGCAGTGTTCTTGCACTAATAAAACTATTAAACTGGCAGAGACAACTTGAATGACAGCTTTCTTTTCCTCTTTATGGGGAGAATAATGAACCAAAATGATGGCAATCATTTGAAGCTATATATTCTATAATTTTATATATAGACCACTATTTTCTTCAAACAAGTGACTTGATGTTAATTCATCTCAAAGGATGGAGAAGATGTCTCRGCTGAGAATCAGTTTGTAGGGAGTTTCATGCCTCCCTAAGTCACATACAAAAAGAGTTTTTCAGAGTAAATGTACTGTTAGGATTGAGACTGGCTTGGACAATGTATAGTGCAGAAGAATTTTTTAATAGGGATAAGAGACACTTAAAAGGAGACAGGATTTGCCTTCTAGTCCTTTAATCATGGTGATTTTTTTGTGTTGAAAAGGGATTTCACTCATGATCAACTCCAGTGCTTTCTAAAACATCATTGATTAGTGTCTAGATTCCTCCTGAGTTCAATTTCTGCTATCAGAAAACAAACAAAATTGTGTAAGAAAGCGTTTATAGAGAATTGCCTAGCAGTTTCCTAAAAGCATACAGTGGAGTGGAATGTTACTATATGACGTACTGCTTTACAGAAGAACAGATAATTTTCAATGTGTGTACACAATCTGCATGCGGGTCAAATCCATATTACCGCAGTATGATGTTGGAATGCTTATGCCAACTCTTACTTTCTGGCATTACAATGCAAAATGCAGTAGAGATGGAGGTGTGCTTCTCAGTGTGGTATTAGCTAGTGCAATCCTAATCATCTGTATACATCAAGCATTGCAAAACAGTTATCTGTAGATACTCTCAGCCTCTTGCTTTTTTAAAAATGGTGGGTGGAATATAAAGACTGCATTTTTTAATCTTTTGCAGATCTCACTTTTTTTCTCCTTTCTTCTTCCTTTGGTCCTTGTCATAGGTACACCCACTTTTAATTTTAGAAGGCCCAAGTCCACAATCACTTTATCAACTTAATGTCAAGTTTTTTTTATTCTTTTTCCAAATTATTTTATTTACCCTCTCTTTCTTCCCCACCATTTTTCTGCACATACTGGTGTTCCATTTTAGAAACTCCTCAGTAACTCTATTGACAGAAAACAGACATGTAAGTACCATTGCTTTGTCATTAGGATGCAAGACAATTGGTATATCTGACAGTGGTACATAGCCAATGTGACACATGTTCTTTTTTCTTTCTTCACAGCAGCTGCTATGATTAATATTAGTAATCCAAACTTGCCATACATCTGTCAGCTGTGAATCTCAGTTAGAACTATCAAATACAGTATGGTCAAATTTAACATTAGAGTTATGCTAGCTTTTAGATACTGTGGGTTAAAGTCATTTGAATATTTCTTATGAATATACTCTTAATATCTTATTTTTTTCTTTTCCAAGTATGCATTGAACAAGGTGTTCTGATACCTGTGCATGTTTTTCATGCTGCAGCCGAAAATTACAAAAATATTTTGTTTAGATAAATATTTATGATGATTCTCTTGAAATTTGAGGCTACAAAGCTTCTAATCTTCAATAAAGAACTTTGATAAAATTTTAACAACTTGTTGAAAATAAAACTATTAATGATACAGCTCACACTTCCTAAATATAAGGGCATATACCAATTTGCTGACATTTGCTGTGGAAATAAGAATAATAATATGAAAGTGTGAATTGGCATCATGCTATCATGTACCACCATCGACTAAGTGTACTTTACTGGGGCATACTTTGAAATTAATCCTGTATTGCATCCTGAAATCTTATCCTGGACTTGGTCTTTCTAGAATTTGTAAGGCAAGATTCAAGCCTGTACAGATGGTTGTTTCACTATTAATGACAAAATCCATTTGAAATTTAATCTGTTCTAGAAAATGGCCCAAGGGACTCCCAGAAAGAAAATATGCCTAGAAAGGCTTCTGTTTTTTTCTTTTGATCTTGATATATTTTTGTTTTGAACAATCTCTCTTCCTTGTTTGAGATTTATACAGATATAAACTGACAGTAAAAACAGTACATCTTCTAACAGCAGCACTGTTCTTCAATCTTTTGGTTGTAGTCAATTTTATCTTATTTAATATAAGAGTATCTAGATGTAATTCAAGCTTTTGCTCTAAAAAGTAGTTAAATCTGAAGTTAGTGCCTCTATCAGTTGAAGTTACGAGTATTCCATGAACTTTCCTGAAAATGGGTTCACACCCCCTGCTGACTAACACTAATTTTAAATGCTGACATGTGTAATGCTTCCTGTGAACTGTGACATTATCCATGCAAAGCAATTTTAGCCTGTGGCCTTAGTCTTGCGTCCTAAGTGTGTGTTTTGATACTTTTTTCCCCTGATTTTGTTCTTTTAATCTCAATGTGAGAGATTGAGAAGCCTGGCACGAACCATCTCTGTTGCAAAGACAGATGTTTACAACTTTGTATGTATTTTAGAACTTTCTAGTAACACTTTTTAACTTGAGAGGTGTTTCCATAGTAAACTTGAAATTTATTGCCCTAATGAGGTTAATACAGACTTTGAAATAATTTAGACTGCTATCTATGTTTCTGGAAACTATTGATGGATTATGATGCTGCTTGCTTATACCACAGGAGGGAGTAAAACATCAGCCTTCTGAGTATTTTCAGTTATGGCATAGGGTTTTTTAGTGCATTTCAGTTCACAGATATGCTGAATTTGACTTGTTTTATGGTTTGTCACTGCAACAGTATAATGTACAAAATCAATACACAGTGGTAACTTATTGTAACTGTTTACAATTGAACTCTGAATACCAATTGATGAGTTTTATCAAGCTATTTAAAAATAGAAATAAACTTTTAAAAATGATCTTCAAGTTCTGGTGCTTCTCATGCCAATTTTTCAATGTGCAGATGACACAGATGAGCATGTACAAATAAGATGTATAAATGAGTTTAAAAAGCTCCTATTTTGGCCCATACAGAGTTAGTAACTTTTTTAGAGATAAAAATTGGGAAATGTGCATTTATTAAATAACATTTGTTATGAGAATAAAAGTGCAGTTATGCCTAGTCTTGGAAATCTAGTATCTGAACAACAGGCTATTTAATTCTGTTGATTGGCAAAATTTAATATAATTCCAAGGTATTTCCCAACTAAGTAGACCTAATAATGTAGGTTAGTTACCCTGAGAAGGGTAAAGAAAATCTTGTTGTGTAGAAAAGACATAGCCAATTATCTAGTGAAATTCTGGATAATATGGATGGATATTTCTCTTTAGGGTTAAAGTTATCTYAATATCAACAGATATTCCAGAGCTGCTTTTTGATGAAGTATTTTCATGAAAAGCATAGAACTAGCATTTATCATGTGTTTAATGCTGAACATGAAAAACAAACAAAAAAGACTCAAACTGCTCAAACTTCAGATCTCTTCTGAAAGCTGCTATCAATTGATTTGCTTTTATTCTAGACTCAGATATAATTAACTTACGTTTTATGTTTGTTCTTAGGGCCTTGATGCTGCAAGTGATAAATGCTGAGGAAGTGCTCTATTGTTTTATGTGCTGTATTTAATCTGTAGAGAGATGCTACTGACAACTCTGAAGCAAAGGCTGACATTTTGGATAGAAAATTAACATGTACTTTTTAATGATAAAATCTGAGTGTCATTTCCCTCAAAACACTTTATAGAAAAAAAGGCAGAGAAGAAAATTAATGTAATATAGGAAGCATTATGAAGTCTTGTCATACTTTTAGATATCTACCATCTAACTTCATTGTAGATGCTGTATTTCTTCTGGAATTCACCTGGTACATACTAAAGGAATATTTTGGCTGGACGGGGCTTTTCACCTGATTGACTCGCCATGATGTGACCCAGAACTAGTTATTAACTTTAATACTGCTTTCAGGTAGATTATCAGTAGTTCTGTGTATCTTTATGTGTCACCGTATGTAAAAATATATATATAGGTATGATACCTGCAGCACACAGGTAACTTCAAGGAGCTTGGGATACTTTGGCAAATAAATGACTATGCTTTTCAAACTCACAGAGGAAAAAAAGCTTGACAGGTAAGAAATAAATTATATACTATGTTTGGCATTCAGGTGCGTGCTATTAGTGGTGGCACTTTTTTGGGTATTTTTAAAAGAAGTAATTGTATATGAAAATGGCCAATGAAAAGCCTAATACAAGAAACAGTGAATCAGGCTAATGAATTTAAGATCAGCTCCTAACATATTCATTTTTTAAAAACTCCTTACAATTACTTAGATTTTCTTTAATGTCTTAGTATTTTGCCCTGATATCAAATGATACTTTACTGGGAGGGGATAGTACTTTGAGCATGTCGTTTAATTTTGATAGATCATTTTGCCAACAAAATAGGATGAGATGTGAATTACGGCATGAGACAAAAGGCATCATAATCTGATCTTCCTTAATGTTAGGAACTCTGTCAAAAAGCTCAGGCTCCCAATTYGTTTGTTTATCTATTTATTTATTTGTTTTGAGATGGGGTTAAATAAGTACTAGAAATGGGTTTAAAGGGGATTAAAAACAGAAGTATTTTTATCCCTTTTACAGGAARGGGAAACTATACTGTTTATCAGTTATTTGTTAGTTCTATAATCTTGAGTTCTATGCACACTTTATCATAACCTAGAATTCAGAGGGGTAGTCTCTTGTAAATTTGAAGAAAGCTGGCAAATTGATTTTTTTTGTGTGTTTTAGAAAGTATAGTCAATAAGAAATCTGATACTAGGATTTATCTGTTTAAGCAAAGTGGTTTTAGGAAGGCAAATCACAGCTTCAATCCTGTAATCCAATTGCATAGGATCAATACCAATGCCTTGTTGACTTAATTGGAAGCCTGTAAGCATGAGGATGTTCCTACATAACTGAACTGCGAGGTCAGGGCTTAGGCATTTTACAGGGCTTAGGCAATTTACCTTTACATTTAGACTAGGTTTAAAGTAGCGGCCCACTGACAGTTCAGTCAGTGTCAATCTTCCCAATGACTCAGATGGAAAGTAAAGGCATCCCCTAGATAAACATTACATGGGAATACTAAAGGGTATTTAAATAGTTATATGTTTATAACTACTTAGCTACTTAGAACCTAAACTACATACCCTTTCTGGTGTTAGTCTGTCGTGCTGCCAGTAATGATAAATCAACTTCCAAACACTAAAAATTCTTAATTTTACTAAAATATTATATTTGCCTTATTTTAATACATATTCRCCGGAAGATACTTATGTTCCTACATACACAATAAAGGAAAGAATGAGTGATTTGC